AAAACACATTTCTGTTCTGCGATTTTTTCAAAAAGCTGTATCTTATTCCTTCTTGTCACCAGCCAACTTTCAATACTATACCTGTGATTACCCATGAGGTTTTTTTGGCTTGGTCGTTTTGGTAACCGGCTAATCGGACCGTTACAGCTCATGGCGATTCAAACAAAATCGCAATTAATCGTCGTGTCCGATAACAGTCTTGATTAGCGCATCATTTTACTAAAATCGCGATTAAATGCTCACCCAACAAACAAAAGACTACCCGATCGTTGATCATTCATCGCGATTTCATCCTATAAAATCGCGACTAAGTTTGAGTCTCGATTGATCGCGATCAGTATTTTTATCAGTTGCTCGAATCTGAAATTCAGATCAAGTATGATTGGGACTGATAAATAGATCAGATTTAGTCGCATCTCCTGTTCGTTCGCGTTTCATCGTGTTCGAATTAGAAATCGGGATGATATCAGTAAAATCTCGATTATTTTTGGATGGCGATACAGGCGGTTTCGTTTTAAATGCGATCACTCTAGATTTAGCGAACAGCTCCAATTTATCTGAGTTAGGACAGGGTCGCCTACAATCGCGAAACTTTGCTTAGTTGCGAATCGAAACTGCACTTCGATTAATCGCGGTTATCGGAGTCACGTCTAATTGTGACTAATTAACTTAATTAGATAACCAGAAATATTTTCTTCTTTTCCTTTGGACCTGCATCTATGGGACCTCCATTCCTCTAATGAGATCAGGGTACCCTTCCTCGGCGATCTGATTAGGTCGAATAATTACTCTGCGCCGGAGACTCAACTCTCAAGCGCGGAGTTCTTCTCCTAGGCGCCTTACGGCTGCCCTTGGTCTACTGCTTGTAGACGGCTTCTTCGCTTTTCAGAGTCATTTCAGGCTCTAAGATAAGTGAATAAGTACAGTTATAATTTAAATCAAGTTATTTGCTATATTAAGTCACGCTAGAGAGAGAGTATATATAGCAAATTCTTTCCAAAATTTATGTAGTAAAAATGAGTCATCGATTGATCGATAATCAATCGGCTACGGTTTTTAAACAACTATGAAAGGAATTTTTATGCATATTAGTAGTTGTCGATCTCCTCTATCTTCTACGACCAAGAAAGGCTGAGTTAAATGCAATCTCTATAGAGAAAAAAGGATCCCAAGTGGTGCGTTTTGCTAGATCGGTTCAAAAAAGCGGAATTTCTGCAAACAAACTGCCAACTCAAATGTCGTGCCGTGTATTTTTCTTTTGCATAATTTTATTTTTCATTCTCTTCTTATAGACATGATAGATGTGGAGTAATAAATCCCGTCTACAACCAGTAGCCAATGAGGGCGAGATCTCATAGACAAAAAAATTAAGTATGGAACTAGGTTAGCTTACACTAGTAAACCTGTCAGTCACCGTGAGCTTCTATATAAGATTACTTAGGATTTTGTGTTCTATTTTACTTGTAGCAATTCATTAAATGTGTTCTTCAGCATTGCATTCTCTGTTCCGATCAGTCACGAAACTCGCTTCTTTGACCACTGACTATTGAATGATGCACGTAACTGTACCGGACTGTGTTTTGTGACTGCTTCTAAGGCTTTATTGAAACAATTATGAAAGAAATTTTCATGCACACTAGTAGTTGTCGCACGGCTCCTTCTTCTATGACATAGAAAGGGCGATTTGAATGCCATCTTTATAGAGAAAACAGTATCGTAATGGTGCATTTTGCTACATCTGTTCGAAAAAGCCGAATTTACGCAAATAACTCAAATGTTGTGCCCTGTAATCTTTTTTTACATACTTTTATTTTTGCAACTTCTCTTGTTATACTCATGATAGATGTGCAGTAATAAATCCAGTCTGCACGCACTTGACAATGAGGGCGAGCTCCCACTTGACTAAACTCTTACTCTAGAATAAAAAATTAGAAAGGACAAAATTATTTTTTAACATAATTAATCCTCTAAGAGAACTAAGTTCGAAAAATAAAATTATGTGAAAGAAGAATACAGCGCAGGACATGTCACTTGTTTCGATTAATTCCGCTTTTTGAACCGATTCCTAGCAAAATGCACCAGTTGCGATCCTTTTTCCTGTGTAAAGATGGCATTCAAATCGGTCTTTCTAAGTCGTAGAAGAAAGAGTTGCGCGACAACTACTAATATGCATCAAAATTCCTTTCATAGTTGTTTCAATAAAGCAACGCTTTGATTCATGATGGTTCGATAGCAAAATCTTTCTTCGATTAATCGGGATTGCAACAAGAGTCAGAACTGCACACTAGAAGAACGCGACTCATTTTTAGCCGAGATTGATCGATAAAGTTTCATATCATCAGTCGCAATTATTACAGTACCGAAGATTGATATATCGTCTTCGAAATAGTCTTCGATTCTGACTGTCATGATGAGGAAGAAAACAAGGAGGACGCGTTACGCAAGAATTTCTCCTTAGATTACATGATTCGGGCGGTCGATTTCTATGATGCAAAGGACCCGACAACGGGGAAGCGGAAGCGGCGATGGTCAACAGTAAAACATAAGTTCCGGCGTATTCCTCATCAAAAATATATTGGTCGATTTCGGAACTATCTAGAAAAACACGGAACAAAAAAGCAAAAACATGAGAAGATTGATGATTATGTATCTGATATGTTCGAACGGGCTCGCGAAAACGCCCTACCCGTGCACGACAATGATCTTCGTCGGTGGGCATTGAAGAAAGCTATGGACGAGTCTTTGCATAGTTTTGTGGCTGCACATCACTGGCTCTGCTCTTTCAAACATAAGCACGATATTATCTCTCGCAAGGTGACGAAGGTGAGAAGATCTGTGTTAAGTCATTAGAAATAAGGGAGAAGCAGTCTTGCTTTTGGATACTAGATTAAGATGCGAGAAAAAGGCGTTGGTACGCTCTATAATCCTGAATTTCATTCGAAACGTCGGTTCGTTTTGAAATATTTTGAGATCAAGCTTCATTAAAAACATTCTACCTTCATAGATTGTGACAAAGCTGCAAGTGCAGAATCAAGAGACTATCAATGTTTCAGCCGATCGCTTCGTGGCTGATGTTCGCAGGCGTTTGTCGAAATATAAAGCGGATGAGGTCATGAATACGGATCAAAGTGGGATCGAACTCGAACTACATTCTACCCGGACGTTGAGCCACAAAGGCGAGAAAACAACAGTTGCCGCGGTCCGCTCTACTAATGCCACCACTCACAACCGTACTATAATATAGAGAGATTTTATTTCACTCTTTTGTCTTATCCTGATGATGATAAGTGTCTCTTATTGAAAGCACGAACCATAAACTGATTTTGATTAAAAATCGATAATGATTTTCGTAGCTGTTTTATACTCAATAATATTTAAAGGTATTTCTACTGCTTTATCCTCAACTTATTTATTAATGTAAATATAAAATACAGTGGGCGTCATAAGAGAGTAAACGAAGATTTTCTTGTTGCTTCTCACATTGAATTGAAAGGGAATAAATTATTTCATGACTGTCGTTAATTGTTTTCTAGTGAGAAAGCCAGAGGTTCAGAATCTTACAACGCTTCCCCGAGCGAACCGAAATTAAACTGAAACGTTGACATTTCTGTTTCACATTTTTCTGTTTATTTAGTTTAGAGAAGTATCAACTATGTTCATCTAAAAAATGAGAAAATAGCCTGTTAGGTGTTTCGTTGACTGTAAGCAAAGTTCTTAACTGCATACTGTTCAAATAGATTGTGGTGAAGGAAGACGAACGGTTTGTTGTTGTCGGAGACGATGCAACACAACAGAGCCAGGACGTACTAAACTCCAGACACGATACATTTCTGTTTTCTTAAAAAAGAGCCAATGCTTATCTTGAAGACGGTTAAAATAAAGATCTAATGATTCTTCGATAAATTGCGTTGCTAAGTGGAGAGGTGGAGCATTCCAATGGATTAAAACTTCATCGTTCAATGAGTCATGATCTAACGCTCGATTTTGATGGATATGGATCTTCATTACTGAAGCTGCACATTCACAAACTGCTTCGCTTCTAACTTTGAGAATCATTAAAGAATAAAAATACAAAAATTCTTCGATTTTGTTTGCTAATATTTCAGATATAAAATAAGTTTTCATGACGAGTGTAGACACTACTTTATCCTTTCTCATCCATAAATCCCTCATATTTTTGTCTTGAATTTCATGTAGAAAACTTGTTTTCCATAACTGATATTGATCGCGAACTATATCGAAATCAATATTTAATGTTAACGGTGCATTTTGTTTTGTAAATAATATAAG